AATCCCACGGACTTTTAATGGTATCTGTGAATAGCTGACTTATAAACGAGGAGCCTAAGGCTGTGCAAATGGGTCTGTAGTCTTCTAAAACAGCGATATGCATTGAATGTGAAATTGGTGTGTAAAAGGAACTCTTAAAGTTGAAATTCATTATTATCATACGTTCTTGTTTCTACAGATATTTGCAAGAACTCGCGGTCATGTTTTAGGTTTTACAAAGTACGAGTTTAAAACGAAATTTCTTGAAATCACAACTACAGCAAAACTTGCAAAGGAAATAGGTAAGAAAACGCTACAATTTTGTTGCAAAATATCACTATTTTTTCAGTTTGCTTTCCTCTTTTATAAATATTTTWAAATAATTGTATATTTTACTGATGCTCTGTACAATTTTAACTTTTACGGCAATTTGAAAAATAAATTTTCATTATTATTGATAATTGATGGGTTGCAAGCATTTCCAAGAACGAGTCAAAAGACAAAAACATGGCGACATATTGTGGTGCCGTTAAAAATAGATGCTAATGAGAAGTCTCTTGTTCAGAATCGTACCCAGTCGCTTCTCTTCTCTTATTGATCTCACGCTGTGGTTGATGGGAAGGATTTAGTGAGTTCGCGGTGCATCAAGGAAAGGAAGGGAGAGAAAAACGAAGCGTCGTCACTTTTTCTCTCTCCTTCCCAAAAGCCATCGCGCGCATTAAAAAAGCGTGAGTGATGACTGGGTATGAGTCTGTCAGCACAGAGGGTACGAGTCTGTCTTAACATGCAATCGAAAGATTTTTTAGATTTCTATTTCTTTAGATTCCTAGGCGATTATATCCTGATTATTTACTATATTTTAAGGAACTACGGAAAAGCAAGGTAAACACAGTAAATCAAGTTCCAGAGGCGGACCATGCGCCAATATTCCACTTCCTTCAATCTGTGGAGTCACCCCAGACTGCCTTCAGTTTTCTTGTGCTCTAAAATTCATTGGCCAGCAAATTTCTCTTTCTTTTGGGATCAACAAGTGTGATAGTCCCATCACTCTGTCCGCTAGTGCAAATATCCCAGCGTTGAAAATTAAATGGTCGTACAAGTTGAAGTCTGGCATGATGATACCGATTCCTGAATATGGTGTCAGTGTTGGTGGTATTGAGGGAGGAGTCCTTATTGATGTTTTAATCAAACCAGTTCGAGCAAGCTTAGTCCTACAGGTATGTTGATGGGCTGGGGTACTGGGCACTAACCTTATCCAATCGCCCAATATTACTCAAGGAATATACTCACGKGATCTTTAACAGGAGAGCATCACACCCATTGCCCGAGAGCCTTAAGACTTATGTAAAGAATCATTTTCCTTATGCCATCAACTTTTCAGGTTAAATTGATCGTTGGAGCGAGAGTTGGGTTCATTCGTTTGTTTCCCATAAACTTCAGATTGTTAAGGTTACGGCTACCAGTCAAGATACAAGGCTGTGGTATGTATATGCTTTATACCTAGTTCAAGGCATTTCCAAAAATATTAAATATTATTATTATTACATAGTTAGGATAGTACGCGCGCGCTGATTGGTCGAAAACTGTGCTTTATTAGTGAACGGAGCACTATATAGCTTTACTTATTTTAATTTTATCGTAAAGCGCCATGGAGTAATCAAGGCGTTTTATAAATGTAGAATTTATTTTTATTCATTTATTTTAATTATTAAAATGAGCAAAAAGGAATTTAGTACTCACTCGTTTTAAAAAATATATATCAGTGCCAAATTCAAGATAATATGGTTTAAAAAAATAGAAAATTTTATTTAAACAAAGTGAGATATATTCGAACCCAAGTTAAAAATTTCAAAAAAAATCGACTCCACTTTGCCATACCCCCGAGACATCCGCAGAGCTGAGGCGTCGTATGGACTTCGGACCTGACGGCGATTAAATCCTTCTGCCCTTGGGTGTACGAATTACGCAAGAAAATGTTCTAGCCGAAGCATCAGGGGAGAGACCAGCCGGCCCCCAGACCATATCGACTAATCCCTTGCATCTCTGCCACGCACGGAATCGGTTGAAAAWWTRATGTTAAAAAGTCTAGTCTATTYGGTGCATTGTTTTCACGRCTATTATTATGCTAATTTCGCTGAACCGTGGTTCAGTGGAAAAAATCTGSGCATTCAAGACACTGAGTCAAGCCCGCCTGAGGAAGGTTAATACCTGGATGGGCTACCTTAACATTAAACCTACTCAATTTTTTTTTTTTTTTTTTGCTTTTTGTTTTTTGTTTTATCTATCTATTTATTTGTTTTGTTCCTTTTTTAGTTTTTATCAATTCAGCAATATTTAGAAGTTTGCCGATTTTCCTCGCATTTCGTCTTAAGTTCAATGACCGATTGCTATCTACCCGAATGCTTTGCCCAGTCTCCGAGCGTTTGTATTCTGTGCTGAGGAAAGACAAACACGTCAAATTGAAGCAAAAGAGGATCGCTTGAAGTTTCTCTACAAAGATGTATATTACTTTAATTCGATTATAATTCGTCTTAGTTGAAAAAAATCGTCACAGCAATTCGCTATTATACTTGCAGCAACTGTTCTAACTTATACTGCATGTCCTTTATGGGCCACCGTAGGCAGCAAGACAGACAGACAGACAGATCGAATAGAAACATAATCGTTCTGTTTCCATCTTTTTAAGGTAAATCAAGACTCGATCATACCTACACCACACTTCCAATTACCCAGAAACCATCTAACATATATACGCCTACGGTTTATCCAACGAGCCCCGAAGACCTTGCTTCCGAATACTCGACGACATCATACCCGACCAATAGCCGAGACGAACACGACAGCACGACGAACGAGTTTGAGAATCCGAGTAATAGCACTTACGACATAGCGGAGCAAGAAAATGGACCCGAATCAGCCAGAGATCAAACACAGGATTATGAAGAAAATAATGAATTATATTTTGATAAAGAAAAACAAGAGCAATATGATATGGGAATAGCTCCTCCGATGTCTGCTTATGAGCAACTACAGCCCTTACGAGACGATACTTGATACATTTTATTCTGATCAAAACCGTTGGTAGATTTGTCAACCAAAATAGCAGCCATATATACTCAATTGAAGAACCGTTGTCGGGTTCAGAAACATAGAAGCTGAGACTGAAATGGCACATGGGAAGTTAATTAGATGCATGCTCTGACCGGCGACCCGTGGCATCATCCACTGTTTTTGATACGCGTTTGGAATTCTACACCGACTGCATGGATGGCGCAAATGAATAAATTATAATATAATTATGTCATTTCCCATGTGCCATTTTGGTCTCAGCTTTTAATTAACTAATTAACGAATATATCACATAACCGCCATGTTGAACGACTTTGGTAAAAGCGGATTTGATGTTGGATGCATAAGCGTATGTAAACCAACATGACGGTATTTACTTTTTCATCCTTCAATGCCACATTTGAAAGAATAAACTTCAGCTAGCTATGATCGATAATAAAATAATATTTCAAAATCTATATATTATATGTTATATGTATGTATGTTTGCTAAAAAWTTGAAAATAAATTCTCGTGTTTTTACCTGGTGATCGTATCAGACCATATTATTATTATAGCCACCTGTCAACATTGAATGAAAACATTAAAACAAACCAAGGCTAGATTTTGAAAATAATATTGTATTAAAATGTTCACTAATCCATCTATGTGTCGGTCAAAAAATTGAAATGACATTAAAACTCTGAAAAGGGTGCCTACCACAGTAAAATCCAAGGAAATTGTCTAAACAACTGTGGTATGCCACATAGATCGGTCATGGGTCCTCTTCGCGTTCTCTATATTTCTATTGTGATATTTCATGTTGCTCTAACTAAGCAAGCGAACAGTGAACAAGATCAATCGCAGACGATGCCTGCCGCTATCGACCTTCTCTTTCAAAATTCAAACTCACCACACAAGGGAGGAACTCCTGTTACGGGCCAATCAGGATTTAGAAAATGCCCTCCGTGCCGTAAGTATAAAGTTTGTTAACGAAATAGAGCTTCCTATAGAACAAATAAAGTAAAAATTTGTCACTGAAACTGTGATCTTTATACAATCCTAGTACCTTATGATTTTCAGCTGGTATTACATAACAATACTATAAACAGTTTCTCTATAACGATAGTATTTCCTGTTATAGAAGAAAGTTGTTTATAGTGTTAGTAGCCCGGGTACATATTCATGTCTGAGTCTAGCGACAAAATTGTATTATTCAATGACGGCATTGAATTGTGTAATAGGATTAAAACTCTTGGTGAAGTAGTCTGGAATATATAGTTCGCTTTTCAAATTATTTGGGAAAAGGTTGGATAAAATTTATGAATTTACTATTTTTCTATTTGAATTTCTTTTCAGCATATCGTAAAGGACCAAAAGCTCCAGGTAATTTATATCTAGGGGAAAAAGAAAAAGAAGCATCAAAACTAAAAAGAGTGCTAAAATATATACTTTGTTTTCTGTTGTAGTTTGTAAAGCAACAGTCGACCTAGGCTTCGTATTGGAATCCTCGAGCAATATTGACCGCGTGGAGCCTGGTAGCTTCCGTCGGTTAATTCAGTTTGTTGGACTAATTGCGCGCAAGTTTTTTATCTCTGAAGACAAAGCTCGTTTTGGGGTTGTCACTTACTCGTCAAGGCCGAAACTTCTCTTTGGCATGACAGGGTAGGTATTAGAAGAATCTTTGCCGTTGGGGAATGTACTACAGCGGTGACCCTAAAGAATGAGAGGTTTTTATTGATTAGCGTGACGTCAATCGTATAAAAAGAAACGTCTTCCGGGTCCAAAATTTCGTTCTATTTAACAAATCGACATCAGTTTTTTTAATGTTTGTCCTCTTATTGACGATAAATTGCTTCATCACGTTGTTAAAGTAGTGTGTATCCACGAGGCGTAGCGAAGGTGACGAAATCTATCGTCAATAAGAGGACATACACATAAAAACTGATGTCTATTTGTTTTTTTTACAATGACAAAAACGATAAAAACTTCTCATTTTTAGTGATCAAAACAACCAACAGAAAGAGCGCGCACTCGTTGACGTCAGCTTTATCTGTCTGTCCTCTTATTGATGATAAAAATAATTTWAAAAAAACAAAACAATTAGCGCGCGAGAAATTTGTTAAGTTATCGTTATTTTTCTTATACTTTTTTTTCATGACAAGATTTATTATCAAAAATTGTAATTTTAAGCGCGGAGGGTAGAGGGGGACCACTTATTTTTAACCGTTATATTATTACCGCTGAGTATGCTTGAGCCCTCAGATACCGCGCGCTGTGCCTTAGGCCTAACGGTTCCGGTTGCTTGGCGTAATATCCTTTTTCCCTCTTGCGTGGCCGTCAAGCAACCGTTAGGTCTAAGGCACAGTGCGCGCATTGCAGCGCGCGGTATCCGACGGGCTCAAGCATACTCATATTATGTACAGCGGTAAATAATATAACAATGAAAGATAAGTGCCCCCCGCCCCTCTATCCCCTGTGTTTTGAGTTAAATAATTAAGAAACGAATTTTCGCTTTATTTTAGTGGTTTTTGTGAGCAGTCGAACCCGGAAATACGTCACAACTGGCAACTTTAAAGTTCTCCGACCAGCTCCCCGACCCAGACTAGGAATTCTTATTTTAGCTAGTGTTTTTAAAAGATGTGGATTATAAAGCAATGGCAATGTTTGTTGTGTTTCCCCCCTCGAACATATCAGAGTTTTGCATTATATTACTACTAAGCTTATGGCACAAAGCAACGATAACTAGGTTTACTCTTAGCTTTATAAAGGCATTGACTCAGTGAATGGCTAGAGGGAGAGTCTTTTTGTTCTATGTCCTTTTTATAGACTCGAAGCGCGCGCATTCAGAAGCTATTTTCTTTTTGTTGTAGAAACATATCGACGATCGCAAGAGGTCTTCGTAATGCCAAAGTACACAGGGAACCCATAGCTAAGACTGGAATTGCCTTGAAGTTCGCTTATCGTCAGTTACTTAGCACCAGTTCGCGGTTTAATAAAGTCCTTGTTGTTATAACGGATGGAAGGTAGGTACTTTGGAATGCTTATATCCCAGTATGTGTAAACTTGTGTGTTCTCAACATTTTCTAATTGAATTATATCAATCCCTAAAACAACTTCAGGGCTGATCAAAGTCAGGGCACGGCTAACTCACAGATAGAACCCTGAAACAACCTCTGGGCTGATCAAAGTCAGGGCATGGCTAACTCACAGATAGAACCCTGAAATAACCTTTGGGCTGATCAAAGTCAGGGCATGGCTAACTCACAGATAAAACCCTGAAACAATCTCTGGGCTGATCAAAGTCAGGGCACGGCACGGCAGATCGAATTCAGTAGCATTTAGTATGTTAGATTTTGGGGAGGAAAAAAACGGAGAAAAGCCCTGGAGAGAGACCATCAAAACTACTTTGGACTACTTTGTATCTACTTTGGACTAATGAGGATCATTTCTACTTCACAGCTCAAGCGATTCCGTGTCAAATATCGCAAAAGCCATCAAAGGAAGAGGAATTCAAATCTTGTCTGTTGGTGTTGGACGATATTTTGACATCCATCAATTGAACGCAATGGCGTCTCGCCCGGTCCTGTACCACGTGTTTACAGGACAGTTTAGTAAAATAATCCACACAAGAAATGAGCTTGTCAAGAAAATATGTCTTGGTAGGTTGACGTAATGGTTTATAAACGAAAGGGGCGTAACCCAGAGTTTCTTGGGTACCGACGACCCCTTTGTCTTGGGTGTCAGAATGTTTTCCTATTTCAGACCGTGTTTTATACTGTTGAGAACAATATTCCTTGTTGGAGTTATATCAATATTCATTTGTCTTCTCATGCTTAATCATTAAACAAAGAAATGATACTCCAGGGAATGATACGTGGTCCAAGTTGGGGAACATTAAATCCAAATAAAAGAAATCCACTCGAGTCTGTACCCTCYTTTGATTTATCATGGACATACATAATAATAGTTTGAATGTTTCAACAGGTGTTGGAGGAAGCTACATTTCACCTAGTAAGCGACCTTGTCTTTGCAAGACAGGATAATGTGCTACTACCCCTCCCCCCCGGGGGGATTAAGATGCAATGGAAAACGATCTGCCTTGGTAGATGAAATGGTCTTTGATCAAATGATTATACTCATTCGTTTCCTTAGAATTAACAAAGTTAGTTTAATTCTACCCGATTCTTTTGTATGACAGCCATTTGGCATGTATAATATAGTACAACAATTTCCAGAATTCCATATATACTTTATTATACTTCATCCCTTTAAGGCCGGTTTAGACGGTACGATTTWCGCCTACAACTRTCGTATACAACACGCTCGCGCCATCCTACAACTCGAGTCGTAGCGCGTAAATCAAGCCTACAAATCGCCTACGACAAACGCGAGCGTGTTGTATACGATAGTTGTAGGCGAAACCCGTACCGTCTAAACCGGCCTTTACAGGGCTTTTCAGAAGCATTGACAAATACAAATTACATACATAATTGCATATAGCATGCAATCTACTTTGTTATTTATTGCTGATATTTTCATTCAGAAGCTCTTAATTCATCAAAGAAAGTGTTTCTGGCAAATAGAATAATAATCAAGGCAATAACACGAGGTAAAAAGCGCAAAAAAATCGTTCCGAAACAAAATCATGTCTATCTTTATGTCTAAACCTTTCGACGCATCAAAAATCAAGATTCTTTACGGAAACTAGTTTCGTCTTTATCGACCTTTTCAATCCTTAAAGATATCCAATGATGTAAAGAATCTTGATATTGAATGTGTAAAAGGTTATTTTAAAGATTTATAACCTCAAGAACTAGAATTAAATAAGACTATATAAATCTTTTGGAATCCAAGTAAAGAAAATATCAGCAAAATGTCTATTTCTATCCAATTTTCATTATCCAAGTCTTGCTTCCAGCAAATATTTAGAAATAATTTCCAAGAGAAAAATATAATATCAAATAAAAATCTCTTTCATGCTTTATATAACCTACCCGAAAGCACACATAAGAAAACACCAAAAAAATAAATAATGTAAAATATAACCAAATATTAAATTCTAGTTTCAAATAAAAAAATTTAGAGGTCAATAACGAGAACAGTCATGGAGTGAGTACAACAAAGGATTGATTATGAGACCATGTATATAAAAGTAAGATTCCCCTAGTGCTAGCGACCAATATTTTGTCTTCCTTCCTCAGCTGAGGGGAACTAAAAACAAGAGGTAGCCCTAGCAGTAGGGACAACCTCCCTATGTTCATGTGAAAAAACTCTTAGACCCCATGTAAGGTAGGATGGTTTGGTGCTAGGCATAGTCTTTCCCTAGAAGAAACCAACAACGAAGTTAGCCTATGTTAAGGCACGATTACACGGAGCAATTTTCACTGCAACTTGTCTCGAAAAGGCGTTGCGAAACAAGTTACATGAAGCATTGCAGCGGGTAACCTAGCGCAATTTGAAAATAATCAAATTGTAGGCTGTGATATTCAGGAACCAACCTAAAAAAAACTTGATTTTACATAATTATATACAAAGTTTCAAAATAATAATGTCAATAAAAAATATATAAAAGTTATTTATCCATATAATTAGAGTTCATTTTAAAGAAAAATGACCGGAATATAGAGGTCATTTTCAAAAATTGATGACCTAGAGGACTAGAGGGCATTCAAAATGTTCTCGGAAGAAATCATATTCGGATTATCAAAGTCTTCAACGTCATGGTCAGGAAAATTGAGATGTTCGGATTACCGAAGTCATTCAATGACCTTTTGGTCGGAATATAGAGGTCACTCAAATTCCTGGTCGGATTATCAAGGTTATGAAAAAATCCATGGTCGTACTGACAAAGTCATTCAATGACCGTATTGCTCGGAATATAGAGGTAGCCGGAATTCCTGCAGGTCATTAAACAAATCCATGGACGAACAAATCCATGGACGGACAAATCTCACTGAGGTCATTCGAAGAACGCATCGTCGGATTCTCAACATTATTTACAGTGATGCATTTAAAGGAAAGAGCTGATTTTCTCGACCTCTGCGGCGAAACTCCTCCCATAACATGGCTCTTTCCTTCAGAATTCCCTTCAAAAGACCCCTATTTTCCATGGCTCTACGAGAGAGGTACGGAAGAACATCCTCTACGGGGCCATACGGGACGTACTTGTAGACTGAGTATCCGGCATTACCTGGAGATGGAGATAAAGTCAAGAGATTCTTACAAATAGGAGACGAGAAGGGCGTGCCCAGGGGTCTTGAAGGGTGGGTACACAGGGAATGGAAATGGAACAACATTCCAAGGATTTGCAGCACCAATAAAAACAACAAACAAACAAACAAACTAAAAAACAACAAACAAACAAGCAATGAAAAAAAAAAAAAAAAGAATAATGGATCATCTAAAATCCAAGCTAGAATTTGCACAAGCAAAAATATGAGTCAGCGGACCATCAGCTTTTGCGGAGGGAGGGGGGAGGGGGGGTTTGCACGTGTACCTCCCTTGGTTGCGGCCATGCATTTATCAGGGACATTAGAAGCAAGGACAGATCGTAGTTAATAGAAGGACAGTGCTAATATTTTTATAAAGAGCAGAGGAATAAGAGCAGGTGGCATAAACAGGCCACGCATTACTGACCTAAAGTAAATGAAATTTGGTCCGCCATTCCAAGCAGCTGACCAAAGAAGACACGTTTTGAATCAGGGTCAAGACCGAGCTCTTCCATTCTGCAACAAGAAGATCATTAGACTACAGATTGAATACATAGTTAATCGATATTTGACCTTCAAATTGTACGGTGTTATATCTTAAATGAGGAGTTGAGAAAGTGAGTTTTGGTTCTGCAACAGATAAAAGGGAAATGAAGGAAGGTCCAAATAGTAGATAATAAAGGAAAAAAGAAAGAAAAAAAGGAACAAACAGAAGAAGAGAGAGAGAAAGGACAAAAATTGAAATCAATGCTAATATTTTAAAAAAAATTAAGAAAAGAAAAGGAGGGAAGGAGGAAGGAACGGAGGTAGGGAGGGAGGGAAGGAGGGAAGGAGGGAGGGAGGGAGGGAGGGAGGGAGCGAAATCGAGCGAGTGAGCAGAGATTGCACCTTATGTCCAGCAGACCTTAAAAAGCACTGTGGTGTCAAGATAAATCACTACCTTTGCACAGCAAAGCGAATTGAATTCTCATTATGTGAGGCAACCATCACATTAGCTCGGCCTTTAGCTGCCTGTTCTATGATGGAATTCATAGTTTTATCAAAGCAATCACTCGTTGCAGCATAACTAGAGTGGATGGGATCAGTGTATCCTAATGTGGCTGCACGGAGTCTCTCCTGTTCCATGTATGCACCGCGGACAACTTTGGCAGCGAAACAAAAGCCCTCACGGCGAGCAAGTTCCATATCGACCTGGGCGTGACGGTAGGCGTCCTAAAAACAGTAAAACTTTGCGTGACTTTCAAGAGTTGAAATTAGCGGTCACAGTAAGTATTGACCCCTTGCATGTGACGTCAAAGCAGTTCGATTTGGAAGACAAAAAAAAAAAAAAACAATTTCAATCTCCTGAGAATTAAATTGTGTCCTCCTAATAGCAGTTATTATGGATGGATGCAAATGAGATGCGAATGAGACAACAAGCATTGTATCGGCCCGATAACCTCACTCGTATGATTCTCAAAACAAAAGAATTTCTCATTCTGGGCTAAACTGTAATAACAACTATTGAGCTGCATTCCGACGTGCTGCAAGGGGTCTATTGAACCAATCCAAGTGCACCTGATTACTGTTTATGTTGTTTATGAATGAGTGGTGTTGTGTTCCTATGCCTGCGCATGTGTAGACACACTACTGACGCACTACTGACACAGCACGGCACAGTACTGCAAGACACGCCCGTGTGAGTATGGGCGCAACAGTTATCTCAATAAAAGATTATATTTGATGACATGTTTACAGCAGGGGTCACATATACCTTAAGGTAACACTGATAAGTATTAAAAACCAAAGGTCGATCTTTGTTAATATCTCTTTGTAAATCTAAAGTTAGTCTTCTAATGGCTGGCTGGAAGTAGGTTTGTTCGGCATCTATCATCAGTCGAACACCTCGGTCTTCTGCATGCTACAGGAGAGAAAATATGGTGAAGAATGGCCAAGCGGTCTATCATGATAAAATAAAGGCGGCCGCTAAATTGAGTTTGGCGGTTAAGTTCTGCTAAAATTTTAATCTGCTTACCTTAGCTAGTTTAGTGAGTCTGTCTCTCATATTCTGGATTTGCCGAAGATCATCCTTATCTAGAATAGATATTATAGGTTTTCCACTCTTTTCCTGGTAGAAAAACATTAAAAAGAAATAGAAAACATGTTTTTTTTAATAAGATCCTATGGGCCCCAAACCCGCATAACAGACGTCGCACCCGGGGGTCGCACGAGAGTGGGACATATCAGTATGTTCTGTACATTGGCCGTGACGGGTTCGTGTGCTAGTGACTCGATTGCATGAACATGCATGACTTCTAATTAGTAAAGAAAAAATCCGACGCAATTATAGCTATGACGTATTTTTCTTGTGATCGCATCAGAGCTTTGTGTTCGATGGATAATTGTTAAGAAACCATTGGGAAAATATTCCGAATTGTATTCCGTAATGTATACTGTCTTTTCTGTACCCTTTGCCGGACCATACACCATGTTTTTTTGCGCACTCTATTGCGCAAGTTTGCTATTAAGTTTGCTATTAACTTACATTTCCGGTAGGTTTAGCTTTGAACAAATGTGATAGTTGCAGCTGCGGCGTTAGAAACTCGTGCCATTCTATCACGTCGATATCACTAAAACAAATAGGATTGGAAATGTTTGGTATTTATCCGGTGTTCATTCGTTGTGCGCGCAATGCTCATACGCTGTGTACTCGGAGTTTATTCACTACACACTCGATATCTATGTACCAAACTTCCGGCATTCATTCGCTATGTGCACTCGGTGTTCATTAAATATGGTTTACTGTTGCGGTGTTTATTCGTTGCGCGCTCGGTGTTCATACGCTGCGCACTTGGGGTTTATTCTCTACGCACATGTCCGACATTCATTCGCTGTGCACTCGGTGCTCACTCGGAGCTCATTCGGTGCTTACTCGGTAAAACTGCTGAAAAAGGAACCCAAACAAAATATAATAAAATCAATTTAATTTTACCCCGACTTGTCTTTATCAATTAAATCAAAAATATGATCAGCTTCATCCTGGTTAATATGCACCTGAAAAAAGTAAATTAATTTAATTTAATAAATTAGTATGACTAATAGGACCGTGACATACTGTTCAATTTCGAAATTTTGTTTCTGAATTCTGCAAATATTTTAAATTTTGTAAAATACAAAATCGTATAGACTCAGGGATTGGACTGGACGTTGGTTGACAGGAACTTGGATTGAAAAAGAAAATCATTGAATTCTCAGGTTCTGAAAGGGTACTGATAATGTTAATGTAGGGGGAAAACATATCCAACCTCTAAAATTTGATGTATCCTGATATGCATAACTAGCGATTTGATTGTAAAATTTTGCAAAAAATATCAAGATTTCTTTCATATTACTACAACACATTATATTGGATCTCCCCCCCCCCCCCCAAAAAAAATTGCTTTTTGTTTGACCAACTGTCAAACAGTTTAGTTCTTGGATGGCAGGTGAAAGTAGGTAATAAGGCGTTTAAGGTTTTTCTCTCTCACCAAATTTTGTTTTGTAGGGGGGGGTCTTGGGGGTCTTCAGTAATTGCCCTATGCTGTATCAGGCCCTCTGCTATACAAACAGTTCTCAAAGCAAGCTTTTTTCAAATTCCAGTGAGCTGAAAGTTCTTCATTAGCAAGCGGATTTGATTAAAATAAGGGACCATTCATTTTCTATTTGGGATTGGAGGAGTGGGGGCAATCTCAATCCCTGCACTATTGTTCCATTCTTCTTATTGTTAAAGTGCTGTTGCACCCCCTCCCCCTTGAGCCTATTTTTTTGTCTTTCATGACTCACCCAAATCCTAACACCTACCCCTCCCAGGTAAAAAATGAATGTTTCCTAATAAGCTATGTAGTTCAGCCTACCCCTAGTCTATCCAGTCCTTCAAAAAAATGGTCCTTGGCAATACTTGATCCTATCTTATTCTGTATTGCAGAACCTTTGGCCAGTTGGTCAAAGAAATTTTGTACTTGGTTTAATATCTCTGACACTTTCAGCTGAAGGGGGAAATGAGTAACATAAATTAGCTATAAATATTTGATTTGTTAAGGTGGGAGGGGGAGGGACAGAGGAAGGGATAGAAAATGAAAAGAAGGAAGGTAGGAAGTGTGACGATATACTATTTTGTTTAGTTAACAATCATTATGTAACTCAGGATAGCTTGTAATTCAACCCACTCTCAGGGGGTGTGTCGTCTTTTGATTACAATACAGTTGAATCAACACATGTTCGCTTGGTCTTCGTTATTGCTCTCTTTTCTCAATCTTCTTTCTTTATAACTAAGCCTTAAAGACCGTTACAGGAAGGAAGGAAGGTAGGAAGGAAGGAAGGAAGGAAGGAAGGCAAGAGAAATTTAGGAGGGGAGAATGAAGAAAAGGTGTCAGGAAGGAATAAAGGAATAGAGGAAGTGAAGGAAGAAATGAAAGAAATTAGAAAGAAAAGAAAGAAGGATGAAGAAAGGAGGAAGTGAGTAAAGAAAGGGAGGAAGGAATGTGTACTTACCAAGAGCTGTGGTCTCCCTAGTGCTGTAACCTTGATAGCAGCAAAGCCATCAGATGATGACCCACCAGAAGCATCAACACAACTAATAAACGTCTCTAGCCTTTTATCACACTCTGGTTCACCAGAATAGAAGTATGTACGGGCACTAACAACACCTTTACGTCGATCTGCAAACTGTTTGTAGGATCTGTACTTTTTGTAATCATCTGGATTATCTATGGTATTGACATCAATAAGTCAATCATTCAAAAAATGCACATATTACAGATAAAGCCTCAGTTGGATTCATATTATCAGTAATAAGTATCATGACTATCTATCATTAGCCATGATATAACTGTATTGTACTATTAATTAAACAATAACAAAAGCAAGTGGCTGAGGGATACCTGCTAGGGCTTTAGGTTGATCAATGGGGACCTGATCATTGCTGAAACAAGAAGAGATAAAATTTGTTAAGAATTTGGTCTCGTATAGTGTTAAAATAATGTTTGTACCCAAACTAGACCAGAATGCACCTTGGTCCATGATGCCTAGCATAACATGAAGTATTTGATGAAATTAATGAAATGGCCTATTATCTATAATTATACTTACGCATTCCTAGTTTATAAACCAGCATTTGTTGCCAAGGCAACCCAAACAAACTTTTAGAACTTTTACTGGTAGAACTTTTACTGTTAGAGCCATTAAATTATGGAACAGTATGAACAATGACATTAAGCAATCACAATCAATTAAGGGCCTCAAAAAGGGTTTGTACGTTAAGTACTTAGGATATCAGAAAGAAAGTTTAACATTTTATTAGATTATTAGATTATTTGTATGAAAGTCATGTTCATTTTAGTAGCGATGTAAGGCGTTTGTTCTGAGTCATGGGGGCTCCGTGCCAGCTTCACCCCAAGTCTTCCAGGTTGCGGCCTGAGGACTTGGAGTGGAGCTGTGCTGCGGTGCTCTTGGCTTGGAGGAAACGTCTTACGTTATTATTATTTTTTTTTTATTAGAGATTCCTTAATTTTATTTATTTTTATTCACGTTTAGTTTGTTGTTAAATTTTGTTGATTCATTTCCATTTTTTTTTTTTTTTTCGATTATGTATTTTTTAGTATTTCTTAGTTTTTTATTGTTTTAATTTTCAGAGGGCCACTGGGTTTTCAGTACGATGTGTTTTATTGTAACTGTTGTGTGTCCCCTCTTTAAATAAAGTTTTATTATTATTATTATTATTATTATTATTATTATTTATACAAACTATACAATCCTGATTGAGTATTTAAACAATAGAATCTGCAAGAATTTTCACATTTTTTCTTCTCAAAAGCATTTTTTTAAATTACTTTCTATTTGTTTGTGTGTGTGTGTGTATGATCACAATGCACTGTTTAAACTCCAGAACTCATCACTATCCCATTAAATTCAACATCAAAAATGTGATTTGTGAATTTGATTTAAAATTCATTTGGGTTCACAGGCCTTGGCAAATGTAGTTGCGATGTGACTGCGTTCAGACAAGCTTTAGCTAAAAGTTGCGACATGTAACATGAGGCTTTACTTGGTTCTATAGTCAACATACCCCATAGCTTTTTGAGCATCCTCTTCACTCAAATCTTCTTCTACTGAATAATCCAGAATAGCTCCCACACCGTATTGTTCCAGCTTTGAGATGGTTGGTTTGATGGCTTCGTGGTCTTCTCCCGCAACAAAATGACCATAAAAAGTGGCCTTCATTAACTTACGAAACAATCCTTTCCCCAGCATTCTTTGACCAAGCTTCATCAACTTAAAAAACAAATTGTTATTCAAAAAATGATCTCTTTCCTATTGTTTTTTCTGCCATCAAACAATAATTACATCTGTCTGAGCTCCTTTTTTAACTGACGGAAGCTAAGATCCCAAAAGTATATCATGAGCGTTGTTGTGTAATAATTATGACAAGGTTAAAGATACATGCATGCATGATAGCTCACTTTATTTAAATTTTATATAAATATTTTAAAATAGCACATAGAGATGTCAAAAGTATAGATAAACAAAAGACGATTATTTGCAACAACATGTACAACGCTGAAGAAGTTTCAATAGACTTAAAAATAATACATATATCTCTAAAATAGAAAGAAAAATTTTCAAACAATCTGCAAGAGAAAAGTTTCTCATTGTTCACTTGAGATTCACTTTGGTTCAATATTTACAGCAATTAAGCTTCTTACTAATCGATAAACAAAAATTACTTCCTGGAAAACTGAAACGGTAGGATATTAATAGTTCTCGTAAGCTCAAAAACATTCGTACCAGTCGAGTAGGAGCTGTAGTTTTATTTTTTTWATTTTTTTTATTTAAATGAGTTTAAGTTTTTTCAGAGCTTCAGTTTATGAATTTATTAATACTAAACAAGTTACGCAATAAACTTCAATTCATAAAATAAAAATATCCAAAACAAAAGATACCAAAAGCTTGTTTAAAAATATAGTTACAGCTGCTCATAGTTAACTCACCTGTTGGTTTTTTTGGACAAGAAAGTTTATTGAACACAGTCTAAAGACAAGCAGAGCGCGAAGAAGCTGAAGGCTGGTCTTCGAACGAAACGCTTCCCTTGAATTATCAAACGCAAATCTCGTCACGTTTTCCCTCTTCGCATTTTCTAGTTCGTATCTCTTGTCAATATGAGTACTAGCAGATCCTATGGATTGACAACGGACTCCAAGATTTCTATAGAGAGGTAAACGGAGGTATTTTAAAGCATCATTCCCAAAAAGTTTTGACGCCATGTTTTGTTTGAATCAATCTGACTGACCCTACTCACCCGTACCCCTGGGGACTTATAGTATTTTCTAAGCGTGTCAAAAGACTTGTTTTTCCTGTTTTGAGAGAAGAGAGTACCAATATGGCGGGTCAATGAAAATAAAGCTACGTGCTAGAAAGGTTATATTTTATTATTTTGACTTTATCTTAATAAAAATGAAAATAAAAGTGTATTTTGAACAAGAGTGATAGCAAATACTTTTGCCTTATGAAGGGATTTGATAATAAGCCTCAGTTCCCCTCAGGCGTAGTATTCAACGTCTGTCTCCCAGTTGCCAAGCATATRCACTTATAAGTGTCTGAACTAACAATAGCCGAATACTTGTACGCGCCTGTACCATTCATGATTGCATGTGCTCAGACACGCGTGAATGAGGGTACGATTCCAAGAACCACAGAACACCCTTTTAAAATACTTCGGTTTTCGATATCGGCAGTTGCAAGCTGCACGTACGCAAAAATTTGGTTTTTCGCTGCCGTCAATCAAAAATAATTAGTCGCTACCTCTCATGCTCTTGATTGGCGGCAGTAAAGCAAAAAACAAAAAAAAAAAAACAACAACAATTTCACAACATGTCTGAGTTCACGGAATATCGAAAACCACAAGTAAAACTAAAATTGGAAAGTACAAGAGCGGACTAGCTGGTCTAGTCTCCCCCTCCCCTCCCTCACCTCTGGAACCTATACGGTCCCTCCCTCCCTCAGTCTACTTGGGCTCCATTTCTGTTTGAGCATGTTAATGACTATGTAGAAAACTGCCGGCGCCAGAAAAACGTTTTGGAAGAGAGTTAGAGTTATATTAAAAAAATAATAAATGGATGCATTCAGATGCGATGTAAGTAAGCATGCATTGTATCGACCCAATAGCATCACTTGTATGATTCTTAAAACAAAAGATTATGCTATTGCGAGCTCAATTTGACCGGCTGCCATCATTTAGACACGCCTATATGAAACCACTATTAAAATGGCCGGTAGTTGTATTTGCTTATTTTATCCGTACTATACATTATATCATAAAAATCTTTTAGTCTTAAAGAGCAATGCAAATTGAAACTGAAATTCAAAACATTTTTGAGTCTTAAATGTCTAATTCGTTGAATTAAATTACTTGCTTTTATTTGCATACTAATTATTTTCTCCCATTTTAAGATCGGAGCATAAAATCAGCGAAGATATCATGGCATGTTTTAACATTATCTTTTATGTACTATTCCAAACCAAAAATCTAGACCCCTCTTTCATTTAGACTTCAGTTACCGCGGGCATAGTATTGTTTGAAGTTATATTGATACAGATTCAGTTTGTTTTCGTTTTGGATACTAATCCTAAAACCAGTAAAAATGATCGCATATGCAAAATAAAGTCATTAATTATTTGCATATGTAATCAATATGTTCAAAAATGAGAAAATAGAATACAACTTACATTGACTTGTCAATGTTTTTATTTTATTCGAAATTATTTTCAAGTAGTCGTGTTATGATAAAAGAAAAATGTTGCTTGTCACGTGAACATGCAACTCTATACACTCGCAACAAAATTACCCGACACTGCTTGAACAAGAGGAGTACCAACCTCGTTTTTCCAAGGGCCTTCTCTTCTCGCTTTTTTTCAAGTTGGCGGCGCTCGAAGGCGCGAGAAGAGAATACCCTGGGAACGAGGAACAATTAAAACGCTAGCACGCCAAGGCGAGCTGTGGTTTCAGAGTAAGTTTCTCATAGCGCGCCATGGTCTAAGTCCCTTGAGCTATAGTCTGTTCATCATTCGTGTCAACGCCCGCTGTGGTTTCAGAGTAAGTTTCTCATTTCTCGCCATGGTCTAAGTCCCATAGTCTATTGGGATAGTCTTATCTTGATTCACCGCGCGCGCTGTGGTTTAAGAGTAGTTTCTCATAGTGCGCTATAAATTAGGAATCAGGACTATTTCGGAGCTAGGGATCTGCATGTATTATACTCTTTCAAGTAGGGCGCTTACTTTATGGGGCTAGACCAAGTTGAATAAAACATACCATTTGTTTTTCCAACCGGAATCAATTTCCTGGTAAATGGTAAGCACCCAGGAACTAGCCCCGAGCTGACCGAGATAATGTTTTCTGAGAAGACTTAAAGTTATACAGTTGCTTCTTACCACTCTCCTCTCTCCTATAAGATCATTTTAAGGTCACGGAATTGACGAACAGTACTTATTTTACACCAATCAAAGCAAGTGATCATCCATTTAAAAAACTCGACCATCACGCCCACAGCACGTCCATAGCATTATTTTCACTGTCATACGAATGTGCTCTAAATCCAGAATCCCTGGTTCCCTGATTCCATGGTTCCCTGGTGCCCTGGTGCCCTGCTTCCCTCATACGGTGCGATGCACACAATACAGACCTGTTCTGGTTTTGATACTTCTATTTTACTGAATTAAAACCATAGAGACTCTAATGTATATAGGTGTCTGACACTACAAACAATCATTTGCTACTAATTCAATAAATTGTAGTAAAAAATGCTTCTTATATATACATATATATACCGGTATATAAACTTAAAACTTAAATTACTTCCTGTTCGGAATCCAAAGGTAGCCCAACGTATAATTTAGCTATATTAATAAAAATATATTGTAAGAAATCATCGGTCCTTAGATGGAATATGAAAAATTTCTTTTAAAAAATTCCTGTTAAAGATCCAGCAAATAATATTAACAAAAATTTTGCTAGGCACTCCTCTAGGCAAACTACTCAGAATTTTAGAAAAGGAAAAATAAAGTTAAAATGAATTTTTGCTACCTTTGGATTAAGGACTAGTCATTATTTAGAAAGAGGAATGTCATGATTAACTTTCTCTGACCCCCCTCCTTCATATTGCATAAATTTAGTCTTTTTTATTCTCCCTGTATGAAATCATTGAGCCCCTAATTTGCTCCCTACCCCCCTCCCCCCCCTCTAAATAATGACTAGTCACCAATTTTCAGCCCAGGAAGCAGTCATACTTGATAGTTTTACCTTTTACATGTGTTAAGCACTTGAAATAAATATTTACCTATTCGCCATAATCTGAGGTCGAAGAAAAAAAATGGATTGAGTTTGGTGTTACAGTGCACTGTGGGGCTATTTAGGGGATATAATTCCAATATGGCTTTTATTTCATCCCCAAAAACAGCCCACAATGTAGTGCAACGCTAACTCAGTTTTTTCCTCAATCTCATATGGATACTGATAGAATCAAATATACTTTATGATGTAAACAAAGTCAAGCTTTTGATTTCTTTAGTTTTTCTTCCAATTGTTCTTGGAGTGCCTTACTGAACTGGATTGTTTGTTCCTGAAGACTGTCTATTTCTTTTTGTAGGTCTTCATTTTCTTGCACGAGTTGTGCAGTTTGGAGGGTTAGTTCTAGAAGACCTGCCTGTTTGAGAGCCGATGCTGTTCGACAAAAGCGTTTTTGCTCACTCTCTTTTCCATGGTTTAATTTTTTATGATGATTTGAGGTCTTCGTGTGTTTTGAGTGATGATGGTGATGATGACGATGATGGTTTGGTCTTTTCAGTCCAGATGATGATGATGTTGATGATGATGCCATAAGGTCAATATTCCTTTGAAGGGTTTTTGAGAATTCAAGTTGAGGATAGCCATGATCCATCCAATTTTTATCCTGGGATTTTAGCTCATTTCTGTCATCAKTGGCATCCTTGAGGTGATCCAAATGTCCATTTGAGCCAGAATACTTTCTTTGGTATAACACAGGCCCCTTGAAAAAAAAAGGAATTTTGTCAGATATATTGCAGACAGACAGCAAGGGACGGACCCTGATTTGAAAAGGCACAGGATGCTCATCGTACATTCCCTAGAAGAAGAGAAATCAATATAATTGAACTGTAAGGAACAGATAAGACTGGGGGATGAGAAGGGGAGACTATAGAACATTAGTATAAATACACAGGTGATCGACTATTGAAAATCTCGCTCGCTGATTGGTTGAGAAACTCACACCATCACATGATAATCACCTCCAGCGATAATTCAAAATGGCGGCCAGCCACTTTGTTGCTGTTACTGGGAAAAAATGTCTTTTATCTTCTTTTTTTCCTTTTTTTTTTTGCTGAAAGAATCACCTGTGTATTTATACTAAAACAATTATTTGCCTCAGGCTCAGTGAATATCAGAGAAGATGCATTTACCTTGCCGCTCAAAGACTCAAACGTCTTGGTAAATATTCCCTGATATTCACTGAGTCTGAGGCGAATAATTGTTAAATAGTTATGCTTAGAGCCCCCAATAAATTGTACTGGGATTGTAGGGTTTTGATTTCTAAAGGGGAAGTGGGAAGAATGGGTTGAATACATTATATTTTGAGTGTGGATTAAGGTCAATCCTTCTTCATCCCCCTTCGATTCCTAAACCAACAAACCATGAAGTTACAATTTATCATTTAGCTTACATAGGGCCCCTATGTAGGCTAATGAGGCAATGTTAGCTGGGTTTGCCTTGATTGTGAACAAATGCATTCTTTTCTATTAGTAAGGGCTCTATAGTAAGGAATTTACATACTACGGAACAATACAACTTGWCATTAAAATTCCATGGGTTTTGGTTGAATACAGTAGCTGAATATTTTAGTGCACAACTGAGACTAAGGCTGAGCAAAGGGGACTTGATGATGAACATTATGATATTAACTTTATATTACTCGCCTGTCTTCTGTCTCCATACTGATCATCCATCTTGAATTCTTACTTGTTGTATGTTTTCAACAAACTGGTGAATTTAGCAAAAACACTATCAAAAGTTGAAAAAAAATCATTTCTTTTTCATTAATTATAAGACTTTATTAACAGCAATATTCAAAAGATTCAAATTTTGTCATTTGATTAACTAAAGTTCATCCAATATACTACTCTTCCCAGTAGACCGAGGTAGTTGTGATTTTTTAATGGCCTTCGAAATTCGTAGCGTCTGTTATGTTATCCGCAAGTACATTTCAAATTGACCACGTGATGCCAATGTTGTACCATGAGGACAAGTTTTTTACACCATGTGATTAAAACTTGACTGAATTTTTCCTTTAATCTCTTCCCACATGAAATCAACTTTTACTGTACTACATGCCATACAGTGAACACTAACTTCAAGTTTTTTGATTTTTTTTTTGACAGCTTTAAATTGTGCTCTTTATCGCCAACCAATTAGACATTGGCGCTACATCGATGTAAGATATCAAAACATCAAAGTAAAATGACAAAACATAATTTTGTTAACGGTAAAGAGAACGAAATCAAAAACTTGTAGAAGTGTTCACGTTTGGCACGTAGCACATGAGTAATTATTATATTTAGAGAAGTATTTTAATCTAATAGAATATTGAATAGAGTAGTAGTGTGTGCGCTGGAGTCATAGTTTACCAAATTGAAAATTTTCAAATAAATTTAGTTATAAAAACAGCAAACCTCATCTTATTAATTTTTTTCTATTCCAAAATCAGTCAAATATCTGGAAAGTAAAAATATTTACTTTGTACATGAAAACAAAAATATATTTATTTAAAGTATTCATGATCAATGTTTACTAAATCAATGTAACCAACAAATGAAACCTAAATACAATGCAATACAATAAAATATAATAACTTTATTTAACGTGGTCAAAAATACACTCAGCTCAAAATAAATTAAGGATATTTTGCTAATTTGCAGATACTGCCACAAAATAAAATATAAATTCCAATTCTTTTAGCTGTTTCTGCTATTTTTTGGGAACTTCTAATGAATGCCTTCCCATTCTTTCCCTTGCATTCATATTTTTTAACCATCTTTAAAAATTGCATATCCTTTACTATGAATAAGAAAAATTGAAGGCCAGTTATGAGCCATAGATTAGAAGTGTCTTCACTTCCTTTGCTTCGGATGTCTGCTATTTTGCAATTCTATTAGATCTTCCCTCATTTGAATTTTCTCCCTCATTTCAATTTTCCCTTTCCATTAATTTTGTTTACACACGAAAGAAGAAGTTGAAAGATTACATACCTTTGGAAGTGACAACTGACTTACAGTCAACACAATTCTTCCAGGAAGCTACACAAAAATAGGAACGAGAAATGCGAACATTTCTGAACTTCTAATATTCAAACACTAAAATCTCAAAGAGAAGTGTGCAATTAATTACGTAATTTTTGAAGTTGCTTTTCTTTCACAGTAACGAACGTAAAACATACTTTAAAAAAATAAACGAAAACTGAAATTTCCACAAGGCAAAATAGCAGAGCACATAAAGATGTCTAGTTTTGTCTAAAAACCCGGACGTTATTGCTTGGAAGTGGTATTTTAGCTTTATGTATGCAACACTGACTCTAGCTGAATATAAAGAAGGGGCAAAACGAGCAGAAACAGCACGAAAATATAAACACAATCAAAATTACTATTTTTGAGAAACTTAAAAGGCCACACTACCTCAAACAGACACAAATTCTTCAGCAATCTGTAAAATAGGACACAAACTCAAGCATGAACTTGTTTTAGATCTTATTTTAGACCTTTCTTCTGTTCGACGATGTCTCCTAAAATCTGGGAGAAACTTTGCCAGAAAAGAACAACGAAATCGTACAGATCTTACCTTGGATGAATATATCTTGTCTTCAGAGATTTTTACTTGTAGATCGGAGCTGTAGAATTAATATTTTTGAGAGCAATAAAATTTGGAAAGTGTTTTCAGTTCGAAGAGGAAGATCGATTGAGCTACGGCACGTGAGTGAGGGCGACAAACACGTCGCATACGTCACATCAGCACGTGAGGTAATAGAGCACAAACACGTGCATCTAGCTACCCTCTCACGATCCTCACGTGATCGATAAAATACCCCCAAAAAGACAACTTTTAACAAATAATTTGATATATAATTATCAATAAAATATCAATTTTTCCCTATTACTAAAAAGTGATAACTTCACCTGTAAATTCTTAGGGATCGCTTGAAATTTGGTTGATAATTACTGGGTTGCCTGTGACAGCGCAGTCGTAAAATGCCCTATTTTTTTGTTTTTGTTTTTTGTCTTCTCCGTCTCGCGAAAAGTGCACTACTTTTCGTAATACCTTTTGCTAAGTTTTGAATCCTTTTACTAACCGAGTTTCATTCCACTCCGATCCACTGGTTTGAATATTTTAAAAAGCTTATTGTGTAACTATTATAGTAGTAATGAATTATGCGCTCGGTGTGTATTTAATAATTACCGATCTTATCAAAATCCATTGTTTTCAGTCTGCATTATCCCAACGAATGCATAGAGAAAAATCAGACATATTTAGTTCATTCATTATTGGCTTTGTTTCGGGCTACGCCCTCAGCTGCCTGCATTATACCTACGAATACTGCGTGCCTCAGTAATTATCTATTAAATCTTACCCTGGGTGCCAGAGGCCCGTGTGGGGCTTGGCACCCAGGGTTAAGAAGCCGTAGTGATTTCGAAGCTGCCAAATATTGGCTTCGTCACTTATAAAAAATTTAATAAATAAAAAAGCTGGAAAAAATTAATAATAATAATAATAATAATAATAATAAATCCAATAATTTTTCAAGCCGATATTTAGAAAACCTTTATACTGCTTAAGAAATTCAGGATAAACACTGATAATTATAACGTGAAAGAAATGTCTTATAGAAAAATTATAATTACCAAGTAAAATATTTTTTGAAGATTTGCTTCTTACCTGTGGAAACAATTTATTTGATGTATCGCGACGCCGCGGTTTTGTCGATTATATATGGAACTCAAATCAAGAGCCTCGATCCCCTTGACCGAGCTCGATTTGGTATTGAACTTAATGCTACAGAATAGAGTATCCTTTAAAAAAGTTGTTTTTCAAGAAATTCGAGTCCTTGAATATAAATTTGTTAAATGGATTTCAGGGCTATCTTCAAAACAGATGATATTACGTAATAATGGTGAATGAAAAACCCTGTTTGGAGCGATTTGGTGGGCTACACGTGAGCTCTGCTTCCCAGCACGTGAGGACACAGGGATACCAATCGCGACTTCCGCTGACTCCCTTTCATTTCGCACGTACATTACTTCGCGGGAAAAGCATATTTAAAACATATTTACTTGCCATATTCAATTATTATAATTTATCTAAATTTGATATTTTATTCTATTTCAATTTATTTCATTCTATTTTATTGCATATTTAAAGAGGTAGGACCGATTTAGGCGGCTGATATATAGAAAAAAAATGCTTAAAAAAACGAAGACCTTCACGTTTCACGCAAAATCTCCTTACTACACGTACGAGTTGCGATTAGAAAGACTGTAAACCGGTTTAGTTCAAAAACACAGCGAATTAAAGAAATTTTCTTTTTTTAAATGCGAATAGAACAAGACAAAAACCATGAAAGATCCGTATCTTTTTATTTATATCATGATCCAAATTTCGTTTGTAATGCAAGTAGGAACAAAAATTGCAAAGCAAAGCAGGGGCGTAAAAAAGGGGATTATCGCCACCCCCCCTCCCCCCCAAAAAAACAAGTTAGACTAAAAATTGCAAATTGCAAATTTCTTTTTTTCCCTATTCTGTTGGGCTACCTGTGGCGGGAATGCGCAGGGACTGGGCTCTGTCCACAGGGCTCCCAACGTCGTCCCTTTCTCTGACTATAAAAAAGCGACGGAGTATGAGTACGTTCGAGTGTAACTCTTAGTCGTGGTCGTCTAGTAAATTGGAAATTTAGATTGCAAAAAAATTGGAAATTGACTACAATTGATTCGTTTTGATTAATTACGAGCACAGCACCAATTTTAAAACTCGTCGTCGGAGGTCACTATAAGGACTGATACTTCATAGTCATGGCGTGACTGCTCGTCACGCGTCTCAACCTACATGAATGAAAATGACCAGTAGTGAGAAGTCGAAAGGCTTCCATACAGCTGAAATTGTGAGAATACTAAGTTCCAGTTGGAGTTTAGCTTTGTAGTTATTTTTTGATTTAGTTGAGAAACCGTCGAAATAGTTCTCGAGAAACCATTCCCATTCGTTTCTTATTTGCAATAATTCGTCTAACAAGAAGCAACTCGTTTGGTTTTTGCAGCAACTCGTTACTCCAAGGCTCCCTTATGGGCCATCGTATCCCTGAGTACAAATGAGTCTGTAATCAAGTAACATAGGTATTGTATGATTTCGATAAGGAAGGACTACGACTATGGCAACAAATCCCCCCATCCCCTCCCCTTCCCAAAAAGGCAACTCCATTATCAGAGTGCTGACATCAATCCCGAAGTGATGATTGGTCAATTAAAATAGATTTCGTTAAAGTCAGTCACTTTGATAGATATGCGAAGACACTTATCTGCGCAGTAAAATCAACAAATGCCTAAAAAAAGCTAGGGCCAAAAACTTCAAGTAAATGTCACTTAATGTTCGAGTGCTTAAGGTCTCTTCAACTCACGTACAAGGCATCATGTTTTTTATTTTTAGAGTGTTCCCAGAAATAGCCTTGGAACAGGAAACCGGTGTAGGATGGGTGGGCTCGCTAGTTTAACCGCCACGAAGGGATGGATCCAGGATTTTATAGCTTATGGTAAAGGGCCCTGTTAGATAAGGGGTGCGYTTAAATAGATGTAGCACTGTATGGATAAGGAAACAAGGAAGGAGTTGTTATAATGAAAAAGATTTTCAATAGACATTATTCTAACTCTTCAGGCATGCAATTTTGCATGCACTAGCTCTCCTTTTAGGTCTCTCAAGGAACGTGGTTTTATTTCAAAATCACCGGATGTTTTGTAAAGTGCAGTCATAACTCTATCTCCTAGAGTAGGAATGGGAACGTTTTTTGTTATTCTAACCATGAAAGTTCAGATGAGATGGCCAAGCAAGCGCACAGGAAGGAAGTAAGGTTAGTGATCTCGAAAGGTAAGGGTGTGTGTGGGTGGGTGTAGGACGGGGGCATGCAATTCAAGTTGACTCACACTTTTAAATCATTCCTGCCCTCTCCCCTCCCCCTCCTCCACGCGCTCTCACCGTTTTGCTCTCCACTACTGCTCTCTTCTCGCTTCTACTGTTTCATTCAAGAATGCTTTACAGTGTTATATGAAATAACACATGCAAACCGTATGAAATAACCTTTTTTTTTTCAAGAAACCAATATGACTTATGAACAAAGAGGGGGAGGTTTATCCTTAGCTTAAGGTCTTCAATATATTTCCTCCGAGCCGAGTAATACTTGGAGTCAGCATCAGCATCAGCATCAGCATCAGCATCAGCATCAGCATCAGCATCAGCA